CTTTTTTTTTTTTTTTTTTTTTCCCTTCTTATAGCATTAACCAGGAACTATGATACTATGTTAAGCAGTGGTAGCAATAATGGTCATCCTTGTCTTGTTCCAGATCTTGAAACACATCTATTATTTCTCCAGTGTAATGACTGTTGTAGGTTTTTGTATATAAATTTTACTGTTTCCTAATTTAAGTCCCTCATAAGTACTGCATTAGTTTTATATTGCCATGTAGCAAATCCCTGCAAACTTAGCAGTGTGAAAAACAATGCCTACCTTATTATGTCCCAGTCTGTATGTTAGAAGTCTGGGTGGGTTCAACTGAGTCCTCTGATCAGGGAACCAAATCAAGGTAAGATATGTATCTGAAGTGCTGAAAATTACACAGGAGAGCGTCAGTTTGATCCGAGTTAGGCCAGTAGGCTGTTATCAAGTGAATGGTAGAGTAGACATTGACTAATAATGAAGGGAGATTAATTCTAGTTTGCTTTTTAGATGCCCTAAAGAAAAATTAAAAATGTAACTACTTAACTCCAGAAAAATAAGTTCAGAAAAAAAAAATCTTTTTATTTTATTTTAAATATATCTATTGATTTCAGAGAGAGGAAGGGAGAGGTAGAGAGATGATAGATAGATGATAGATAGATAGATGATAGATAGATAGATAGATAGATAGATAGATAGATAGATAGATAGAAACATCAATGATGAGAGAGTCATTGATCGGCTGCCTCCTGCATGCCCCCAACTGGGGATCAAGCCCGCAACCCGGGCATGTGCCCTGACCAGGAATCGAACCCCGATCACCTGGATCCTAGGTTGACACTCAACCGCTGAGCCACACCCGGCCAGGCTAGAAAAAAATCTTAATGATCAAGAAGTTGTCTTATCTTTGTGACCAAACTACCAGATTGACTCAAGTGTCACCATGAAACAAATTATTATGGAGAAGATTCAGGGGTGGCAGAAGTCCTTGAGCCAAGATAAAGACCTCTAAGATGGAGAAGTCTGTTGTAGTAGCTTGAATATGCTCCTCCCACCCACTCCTGCCATTTCCAGGCTCCCAGTCCCTGCTGAGATCTGCCCAGGTGGGAATCTCTGCCTCTGTCTCTCCTTTTCCTCTTCCCCAGTTATTCCCAATTATGACCAGAGACGACAGCCCTTCCCTAAGGACAGTAGAGGCTTCTGGGGAGATGTCTGACATACCACCTTAAAAATTAAAAATTTAAAACTCGGCTAAATTGTGCGGGGACTGTAATTTTCTTGTTGTTGTTGAAACTTCCTTGACCTATTGAGAGACCGAATCTTAGGCCTGCTGCCTGATACACTATTCTCCTGGGAAATGGACTCGGAAGGAAAGAACCGTTTCCCCAGCTATCCACAAGATCCTGTTCCTTTTAGTGACAACAAACCGCCTTGAAATCCTTCATTAGTGGATGCTGTTGTATTAAATTTTAGAAACATTTTAAGTTTCAAAATATTAGACTTTTCTGATGGAAGACCAAATGTTTCTCTGGTGACTTCTAGAAATAGCCTCAATGAATAAAGATAATACAACTTTATTCTTTCCAACACTCGTGTGTACATCCCAAGTGTCAGCTTTGTTTTGGATATTAGAAACAAATGTAAATTAGAGACACACCGGCAAATGCATACTTTATCCTGCAGTGTGGTAAGTGGTAAAGCTGGATAGGTGCAGGGGGCACAAAGGAGGGGGCACAAAGGAGGGGGCTATGTGCTAATTCACCTCAGTGAAGTTGGGGAAGGCTTCATGGGCGTGAGCTTACTTTTTGATGAGGTTCAAAGGATGCACGTGAGTTTGTCAGGCAGAAAAAAGGGGGGTAGCAGTTCAAAACAAAGCCATGCAAGCCAAAGCTTAGAAGGGTTGGCGTACCTGGGACCAGTGAAGCCTTCGTAGTGGTTGGAGCAGAGGGTGTTTGGGGGGAGACTGGACCGTAGAGGTCACTTCGGGTGAGTAATCTAGGCACCGGCTAAAGAGGAGTTTGTACTTTGTTGTGTAAATAATGAAGGTGTTGATAAGGGACATTTATCCTTCAACCGTTAGTGTCCTTGGGCCTAATGAAGACATTTCCCTGTGAGAACAGTCCATAAAGAAGATCAAGAAGACCTGGTTTTATTCTCATCTGGGCTTTAGGCTTTCTTACATCCTCAGTCTTGGAGGCCTAAGGTCCGAGCCTCCCTTGAGTTTTGTTTCACCTTTTGTTTTCTTATTTGTTGTTTGTTTTTAGAGCCAAACTCTTTTCTGCAGTTGTTTGTTCTGCAGCTATTTATTTGAAAGTCAAAGCTGGACTGTGATTAGACCAGTTCTAACATGTAGCTGGGGCCATTTATGGAACTTGTTCCACAAAATGGTCTCTTTTACATCACGGGTGGTCAGGAAACGGACACAGGAGACCAAAATCTACATGCAATCTCAATGGTAATACAGAGGGGGAACTCATTTCCTCAAAGCCCTTAGGAAACCCCGCTGTGTTTTTGTAATGCTTTGGCCAAGTTGAGGCTATGAGAGATGAAGAAAAGGTAAAATGAAATAGAAGACATTGGTATCATTGTAGTTAGCAAGAAGAAAATTCTAAAAGTAACATTTCAGAAAAATATATGCCACGTGCAAATTAATATCAGATGCTCTAAATTTATTTTTAAAAACTTATTTGTAGTTTACCTATACTTTAGCTTAATTATGCTTTTATTTACACAAATACATTTTAGTTTTTTTTTCATTGAAATATACAAATGTGTATTGGCTTTGAACTTACAATTCTCAGAATTAAAAAGAAAAAATAGTTACTAATATCAGTGTTTGTCCTCTTGTGTCTTTCTACTTGTGCACATTTGACTTACCATATAAGTTATCATTTTTGTACATCTGATGTCAAATTCAATTCAATTAAAAAGATTCAGATTTATGCATCAGTATTTCTGCTGTTGTTCATTTCTTTTTGTCAGTATTTTGCAAAATAACATCCCATTGTGTAAGGTGAAATGAATAGCATGTAGCACAGCTAATCAAGTCAGAAACAAAACTGTAGGACTGAGAAAATGTCTGTCGACTCACTTCCCTTGTTGTTTGTTTTGCAGCTGACAATGGCCAACATTGGAATAAATGGAAATCATTCTAGGGAGACCTGTGAAACAACACTTTTTGCTCTCCGAATGGCAACATGGAATCAAATCTTAGATCCCTGGGTGTATATTCTTCTACGGAAGGCTGTCCTTAAGAATCTCTACAAGCTTGCCAGACGCTGTTGCGGAGTGCATGTCATCAGCTTACATGTTTGGGAGCTTAGCTCCATTAAAAATTCCTTAAAGGTTGCTGCGATTTCTGAGTCACCAGTTGCAGAGAAAATAAATCAGCAATCACCTAGTTTAATAGGATAGCAAGCCAATGTAGGTCTAGGACAAAATTAAGAAAAGTTTTGGCAATGTTTCAGTTATTTGGATAAATATTTAAAGCCTAACTGGAAAATTCAGGCCTCAGCAAGTAGTTTGGGGGGCACTTTTGTCAGACTCAGTTTTTGAAACTTGTACAATTAACTGTTTAATTGCACATTTTCACTTTATTTGTCAACTGCAGGTAAACATGATGAAATAATGCCATGGGAGTTAAATTGAAAACAATTTTGGGCTTATCTGTGTTATTTTCTGTTTTTGGAATGAGTGACTCTGTTGAGTCCTAAAATATTTATTTGCCCTGTTTGCCAAAGAATATCTTAAAACTACCTGCATGCTGAAATGGCTATTTGGGGGTCACTGCTCTGTAGCTGTTCCTTATAGACCAGGCTCAATGAAATGGAGTGCCCTCATTTTTCGATCTGGTCTGCTTTACCCCTCATTATGAAACCTCGGTCAATATATGTATGGTCATGTCACATGGGATTCCCTGTGGCTTATTATAATGACCTCCATATACACCAGGTGTGGCTGTGAGGTTGCCCAATCTTACGAGCCTTTTTAGAATGAGCCTGACTTTGTCATTTTTGACAAATATGACTTCTTGCATTGTTGTGAAGGTCAATTATTGATTGAAGGTTTTCTTGGTAAGTTATAGATTTGCATAGTTTTCAAATAATCTCCTTTTCCTCTGAAAATTCTAGAACACAGAAATAATCTTTAGAGAAACAAAGTCTCTATCTTAGAACATATGGAGGCGATTTGCATTATAGAGGTTCCTAAGAAGCTCTGCCATGGGTAATGCAAACAGAACCTAAACCCAGTGGTAGGTGCCAAAAACCTTGACAAAGGCACTTTACCTTGAATCATCACTTCTGTGTCAGAGAACAAAAGAAACACTATATATAAATATACAAAGACTCTGTGCAGGTAATGTGTTTCTGTCTGCAGGTAGTGTGTTTCTGCTTTCTACTTACACACACACACACACACACACGGATGGACATAAAAAATTTCAGTTGAAAGTGGCTTTATTAAATCTGTAAGATAGCATCTTCTAAAGCCTGTGCCACCAGTGTTAAGGGGAGGATTGGCAACTACCCAGGCATTTGGAAATCATTACAATGGTTAACCAAGAGATCAAGGGGCAATAATCTTTCCCTAAATTTCCCATTAATAATTTAGATTTTTCTTTGCTTGTTTGTATAATTCAACCCAAGGAGTTTTAGTAATCATTCAAAATGTCCTGGGTCTATCAGAGCATAAGTAGGTAGTTCTGCTTTATAATAGTGAGTTGCATTTCTGTAAAAGAGTTCATTGCCTTCATTAACTGGGGTCTGTTTTAAAATTAATCTTTCATGTGAGACTGATTTCACATTCTCTAGGAAGTTTGTACAGTTCAACTAGACTTAAGTTATATCCACAAATTTTTGCTTTTGATTGGTAATGTACATTGGAAGTTGTCTACTTTTGTGAATTTTGGAAAATTCTCATGAATAAATTAAAAGAAATTAAGCAAATTGCCTCAATGAAGATTTAAAGGCAACCATTTTTTTTCAGTGAATTTAAAGGGAAACACATATATAACTGATATGTGATATTCTTAATTTTCAACCAATAAATGATTAATCATAGAAATTTAGGTTATTCTTATTTACAGAGCACATGGTAGATACTCGATAAATACTTGCCAAATTAAATCACAAGAATTTTTTGGTATGAAATGAGCATGAAATTGCAAAGATTTTGTACATTTTTTAATTTAAATTGCCAGTTACATATGGTTATTGTGATATACGTGTGTGTGTGTATGTGCATATATATTTGTGTATGTATATATATCCAGTGTGTATGCTTTAAAAAAAGCCATTGCAATGTATGATTGCTGTTATATTATATAAATACTCTCTTGTGTTTCAAGAGGACTTAACGCCCAGAAGAACTCTGAGATGGCTCAGAGGCGATCCCTGCTCCTTACAGCTGCTTGAGCGCTGGTGTCCTGTGATCTGAGGCACAGGGAGCCAAGCCTCCCGCCTTCTTCCTTATGCGGGGAGGATGCTGTCGCGAGCACGTCCCTGTACTGTGACCCGCTAGAGGTGCCAGGGAGCAACTCTCCTTCAGCGTTCCAGCCCTCTTCTCCTTGAGGCTCCTTCCACTCCAGTGGCAGAATTGTTGCTCCGTTGCTGTGCTGTCACCCTGGCCATTGTGTCTGTGTGGAGAAGCTGTTGGGACATGACTGTATGTGGGAGGGCATGCATGAGCATGCAAGGTTTTGGGGAGTGACAGGGGACTCACTCTGTGCATACCTGGAAGGAGGATTATCTTTTATTCGAGCACAGGTTTAGGACAACTCAATTGGTTTTATGATGATGTTAAACCCAAGAAGTAGACATCAAAAATTGAAAAAATGTTTAGTAAAAGAATATGCGTTTCTGTTGTTTTAGGCTTTCACCCAAGGAAAGTGAAATGAACACAACCACATGCATATGTGACTTCAGAATTTTATTCATGTTATACGTATTTCAGTGTCGTTAGGCAATTTATTGTATCGTGAATAAGAGAGTGGCGCATTCACCAATCACTTTCATATAAATGTTCAAAGTAAAAGTATATTTGTTCAGATTACTGGAAATAAAAGTACAAATAGTGTTTAACAAGTTTACCAATTTTGAGGTTTCAAGCTCTATTTTAAAATTCATAATTAGACCAGAGTAACTGAATTTTCCTTGTCATTGCGTAAAGTGGTATCTAAGCAACTTCTCATACTGTTTGTCATCTTATTTCAGGGGAATTATATTATTATGGGCCAGTGACTTGAAAATGCCAGGCTTTTCTTGATGTTAATGATGTCTTAAAAAAAGACCAACAAAATAAAAAAGAAACCCAACAGCAAATGGGTTTTTACAATTATGAATACAGAGGCAGATAATGCTGACCTGTAATTAACCATGGATGTGTCCCCAAACATCAGGCTTCTTACTGATGGATTTAACTAGGTAATAGAGATACGCTCTTTTAAATTTTCCCCTAAAGGCAGAAACGTGCTTCTACTTACCTGTATTACAGAAGTGAGAGATACCTAAAAGTTCACACACACACACACACCCCTGTCTTATGTAGCAGTCTTGTTTGCTCATTTTCAGACTTAAAGAAAAACCTGCTTTAGTTGTGTGCCTAATCTTAGAGCTTAAGTAAGAGCACTTGTTAAATACGTAGAGTGAACTTTTTGTGAAACTTGTTGCTGGCTTCACCTGTATTGCTATCGTTGCCCCAAATTAAAAAAGGTCGGAATATATAGAATGGAAATATCCATTTTCTTACTTCATCTGGGCGTCAGAATATTTTACCACCTAGTAAATAATGTTGGACTTCAACTTGTTACCGACCCAACTTGTTACACATCTACTAGGAGTAGGTGAATGTTTTAAGTGAATAAATGTATTTTGTGCCGTTCATTCTGTGAGAGTAAATAGTGATATGTATATTTTGTTGCTTGCATCAGTATGCAACTCGTAATTTTTGTGCTTTGGCTAGTTTAAAACTTCAAACAAATGATTTTATAATAAACTTGGACTAGTGTTTATCAAGAGTGTCCATTTTCTAGGAAAGTCATATAAAAGTTGGAACTCTTGAACCTAAACTCCCATTTTTATCTGCTATGCCAGTGATTTTCAACCTTCTTCATCTCATTGCACACATAAACTAATTACTAAACTTTTGCACCACGCCAAAAAATATATTTTTTTGCTGATGTGATTTTTAAAAAGCTATTAATTTTGATTCATTCACACTGGGTGACTATTGTCATGTTGGCTGTTGTCACTTTTTTAGTTGACAGTCTAAGGGAAAAGAGGTCAATGTCCCCGATTAAATAGTCAGATATTTCATGTTTTAAAATCTTGCGACACACCAGTTGAAAATTGCTGTGCTATGAGATGAGAAGAAATTGAACTTGTTTCCCGTTATTACCTTTTGCTATCCTTTCCTGCCCACTCTTTTGTGATATGTTTTCTTTCTTTTTCCTGCCTCACCTTTCCTATGTAGGTCATAATGGGAATCTGATCATTTCCTAGATGTGTCAGTCAGGATAGCCGAAGTATATTTGTGAAAACAACCCCAAAATCTCAATGCCATAAACCTACAAAGGTTTGTATCTCACCTGTGGCTCCTGTCCACTCAGAAGAGGAACTCTGCTCATTGTAATCACTCACGAAACCTCAGGTGGCAAAGCAGCCACCTTATATGTTGTTTGCCATGCTACAGGGAAAAACCCAGCATGGTAGATCATGCCTGGCTGATAGAGCTTCCACCTGGAGCTAATGCATATTACTTTTGTTTACACCCCCTTAGCCAAAGCGATATGGCCCTACCAACTTCAAGAGGGGCAGGTAAATGCAATACTATAACATGCCCAGGAGAAGACCTGAAAATAATTGGTGAACAGCACTAATGATTTCCACATTAGGTAAAAAACTCCTTCCATTCTTGCCTTCCTAATATAATTCAAACTGGAACTACATTTGTTTGTCTTTTTAGAAAAATATTTTATTTAGGAACATCATAGGATGAAAACCTTTAGGACTCAATCCTCTAAGTATCTTACAATCTATAAAGAAAAGGCAGAATGAATGCTACATACATGCTGCATATGCTGTTTGCAATTAATAGAAAATTTATATTTTAGTAATATAAAATAAAGAGCAAAAAACTTGGTTCTTAAAAATGAGAGAAGTGAGACATTTCTGTATAATGCCTATGCATTGTCTAATTGTAGCATTGTCTGAAATTGTTGCTTTTCCAATAAATAAGGATGTTTGAAATAGTTTCCTTGTTATAGAAAACATGTACCTTGATATACCCCATGCCACTGAATTCCATTAAGCTGTCAGAAAACCTGCAGGAATATGAGAGCACTGGAACAAGATTAAACTGCATTTAAAAAAATTCTTAATCTCCAAGTGAGAACAGTCCCTTCATTTTGAACTCAATCATGACAGTATAGGAAGTAAATCAGAATCTTGGCTAAAATGAAATCTTAGTCATCTGGAGATGTAAGTCTACATATCAAGTGTTCCGTTTAAAGCTTCCATGGAGAGTTATTGCAAAGAATTTCTGGGAGCCCTGTCCTTCTGCCTTGCAGAAATATCAACTGAAAGTAATATGATAAAGATATGACATGCAACTATGAGAAAAGTAGTTGGAAGGATTTTACGTTTTCAAAAAATCTCATACTTGCTAAAGTATATATATATATATTTTAAATGTTTTTATTGATTTTTAGAGAGAGAGGAAGGGATTGACATAGAAAAATTGACACTGATGAGAAACATAGATCTGCTGCCTCCTGCACGCCCCCTACTGGGGATTGAGCCCACAACCTGGGCATGTGCTCTGTCCTGGAATCAAACCGGTGACCTCTTGGTTCATGGGTGGATGCTCAACCACTGAGCAACCCTGTCCAGACTAAAGTATACTTTTTAGTTAACAATCCCGATAGTTTATGAAAGAATAATGAAAATACCATTTACATACATCTTATTATTAATAGAATGAAGGCAGAACTATTGAAATCTAAAGGAAATATATTTTGGATTTAGAGTGCATTTTACATTTCTACTTATAAAAGGATATAAATTCAGTTTTAGCATTTCATATTTAATTTCATTGGAATTAATTTCTGTGCTTGATTGGTAAAATCCAAATTAACAAAATACCCCCAAATGTCACCCCAATATATTCAATAAAAATAAAAAAAATACACTGTTGTTGTCACTCTAGTTTTCCCATGTTAAATGAGACAATCCTATACACTACTAAATACTGATTTAATTTCAGTTTTAAAAAATCAGATTATACTAGATGTGCTGTTGTGTTGTGCACTTTTTTTAGTTCATGTCAATTCACATAGGATATTCTTTTCAGCAGCTAAATAGTGTTACATAATATAAATGTGCCATATTTTAACAACTTCCGATTGAAGGAGAGTTGTTTTTGTTTTCAGTTGCATCCCTCTTTCAAATAATGCTCTTTTTTTTCAAATAATGCTATTTCAATATGAATGTCTTTATACCTTTGTGTGTGTGTGTTTTGTGGAATTGGTGAGTTAAGGCATGCTCATTTTCATTGTTGATATGTACTGCTAAATTGTGCAATGAGTGCTCCCATTCTTTTCTAAGAGAAAACGCCCTACTCCTGACATCACCCTCTGTGTATTTTAGTAGTCTTTTTATTGTCATGGATCTGATTGGCAAAATAAATCATATTTACCTCACACTTTGTTATGTTACTTGTATTTCCCGTTGTTAATAAAGTTGAGCTTCTTTTCATACTTTGGTGAGTCATTTGCCCTTCTGTATATTTCCTGTTCCTGACCTTTATCCATTTTTAATATGTTAATTTTTTACTGATTTACGGGAAGACTGTGATTATTAAGGATATTATCTTAGTCTTTTGGGTTCCTGGACCCAATTCCAATGTGTGTGTGGGGGAAGTGTTCCCTATACCAATAAACAATTCCTGGACACCCTGCTGGTGTCCAAGACACTATCTATCCAGAGATAGCAATCAGATTCCCCAGGTTAAGGGTTCAGTCTTCCAAGGCGGTTTCTTCTGATACCAGCTGCAGACCCAGGCTCTTACTCATACTTCTGACTAACTGGTTATAGATTGGAGGTTCCAATGCTTCCCCAAGTCAGAATGCCAATCATAAGTCCAGGTTGTTACCTGTACTTCTGACCGACTGGCTATAAATCAGAGGTTCCCACAACTTCCTCCTTATATCAAATTAATTTGCTAGAACAACTCACAGAACTCAGAGAAAAATATTACTAGATTGCCAGTTTATTGTAAAAGGATATAACTCAGTAACAGCCAGGTGGAAGAGATGCAAAAGTCAAGGTACGTAGGAAGGGGTCCGGAACTTTGCTTCCTTTCCCTCTCTGGGCACAACACTCTTCAAGCCCCTCCATATACTTACCAACCCAGAAGCTCCCTGAACCTCATCCTTTTGGGTTTTTATGGAGGTTTCATTACCTAGGCATGATTGACTAAATTTTTGATCACTGGTGATTGAACTACATCTCCAGCCCATCCTGGAGGTGTCAGGGTGGGACTGAAAGCTCCAATCCTCTAATAACACGGTTGGCTCCATTAGCAAAAGACACTTTTCTCACTCTCAACACTTAAAAAATTCCAAGGAATTTGGAAACTGTGAGTCAGGAATTTATAATGACCAAATATCTATAAGAAATATATTTTGGTCATCTGAAAATGACCCAATATAAATAACTTATAAATCACAATATTACATTTAGCTTGGGCTGCTGTAGGAAAATACCATAGACTAGGTGGCTTGAACAATAGGACTTTATTTCTTACATTTCTGGAGGCTAAGTCTAACATTAGGTACTTGGTGAGGGCTCTCTTCCTAGCTATTTTCATGCTGTATTTTTATGTGGCAGGGAGTGAGAGAGAATGGCTTCTTTTTATAAGGCACTGATACGATCATGAAGACCCTGTTCTCATGGCCTTACCTAAATCTAATTACTTCCCAAATGCCCCATCTCCAAACACCACCACGTTGTGGAGTATACGAATATCCTTATACCTTAAACATACAAATTTGGGAGGGGAGGACACAGGTCAGTCTAAAACAGATATTAACACTTTATTTTTTATATATGTTACAAGTACTTTTCTCCCAGGCTACCATTTTCTTCTGCATTGATGATGTCTTTCACCATACAATAATTTTACATTTTTTATTTAGGCACAGAATTAATCTTTTATGAATTCTTTGATTTGTTTCTTGTTTGGAGAGACTTTTGTGTCCTCGAAGATTATAAATATACCCTCCTATATCATTTTCTACAATTAGAGTTTTGTTTTTTATCTTTAGATTTTGTACTTTCCATGGAGCTTTGTTGTTGTTGTTTCCTGTGTGATGGGGATTTTTTTCTTTTTAACCCAGATGTTAGCCAACAGACCCTTCAACATGATTACAATTTTAGAAAAACTTACTTTTAGTTATATTCTTGAAATCTTATTTTGGGCAGATTTCTGTTAAGCTTTTTGAAATATTGAACTTGGCTCACCTGGCTTCTATTATTAACTCAGATTGGGAAACTAGTCTAGACCACACTGTAATAAAAGTAATGTTACTCTTAGTATTCTACTAAGACCTACCACCATTAGGACATGGCCTTTGAATTGTTTTTTTAGTAAAGAACATACTGTTATGTAAGACTGTTTTCTCATTTTTGCTATGTGTCCTCTGTGACCAACATCAGTTTCCAG